CCGAACCCGCTTTGTACCGGGCGTTAGACACGACCTGACTTCGGCCCAAATTAATGGCCGCCCGAAAGGCCACCACATTTGGGTGTCTGAGCTCTTTCAACACCTGCTTCTCGATCTCGTGGGCCAATCGGTCTTCGGGGTCGCACTCGGCGTCAAACTGTACGTATTTGGCGGCAAACTGACCGCCCGGTGCGGCGCCCGACATATATTTGCCACGTTTTGCGTTCAAATTGTGGATCTAGTTTGCAATCAAATGTATATTTTACATGAATTTTGTAAGAAAACAATATAAGAAAAGTAAAAATAAATATGCTCACGCACATTTTTGGTATAAACACCCCGGTAGACCACGCCAAAGGCTCCATCACCCAACTCATGCTTAGTTTCAACCTTAATATCAAAGCCCTGTGCCTTCAATCGCCTCAAATCCTTTAGGGTCTTATCCGATATCATACGGGGGTTGGCATCGATGGGTTTGGCGGGTCCGCGGGCACAGGCGGTCAACTCTCGCCACAACCGTTTGCCAAACCACGGCCTATGATTGGCCGGCGGCTGATCATCGCTACTCAGGTTTATTTCACCTGCAGAGCTGCTCTGGACTACCGGTGCTGACGTAGAGACTGAGACATTGCTTTGTGATAACCGAGTTTGTAGTTGTTTAAGCGGGTCTATCGGTAGTGTTCTGGCCATGGTTGGTGTTTAGCCAGATTCCCTGTTGAATGTGGCAAATTATTATTTTTAAACATTATTGATTGTTGTATATAAATGTAATTATTGCAAAAATGTTGACTTTGTAAATTAATTTTACAAGTATAACTATACAAGAAAGTTTTGCAAAACAATGATTTTTGTTTAAAATTTATATTTTTAGGGATTTTCATTAGAAAATAATTGCTCAATACACACATCTCATATAAAAATATTGTGAGATTTTAAAATAATTGTACTTGATCAAACTATCGGTTATTTGTGCTGATTATATTGAAACTCTAATACGTGTATATAAATTATCTACCATTGTATTTATATAAAATCTTTGACTATATTTTATATCACAAGTATTTTAAGTTAAAACAATAAAAAGTTACACAAAATTATTGCTAATAAATTAATTTCAAATATATTAATTTTCAATAAACTCTCAGCAGATAATACTGTGCGTAACTTTTACGCTAAAATCTCCTAAAATCTGGTAAAAGTATACCTCTTGAGAACATCACCCAACGGTTCCATCGCTTCACTCATGTCAGCCACGAGTGCCATCACCTGTCGCTGCACCCGGGGATCCGGTGGATCAAAATCTGCCGCCATTTTCATCAACTGCTTGATCATGTTGGCCAACGCAATGGTATCCCTGCGCATCATAGCGTGCATTTGATCGGCCGGTATAATCACACCCCAGTGTCGGTACACATCCCGAGACACAGCGTCCCCAAAGTCCGACCACTTGGCCGCGTACTGACCGGCGACGGCGCCGCTGAACACCAACACATTGCCTGTATGTATGTCCCGGTGGGCGACCCCTATGTCCTGCATATAACTCATAGCTTAACATTTTTGGGCAAAAAATACAATTAAAATTTTTTGTGGAGAGAGAGAGAGAGAGAGAGAGAGAGAGAGAGAGAGNCACTACGGTAGAGACACACCATCCCTGCAGGTTAGCCCCGAGCAGCCGACCGGCGCCTATCCTATCCGGTCTGCCATTCAGTACTGGGAGAGTGTGTCCTCCAGTAGTGGTAGTGGTCGACAGTCGCCGCCCACACCGGAGATATCGCCCAAACGGCGCCGACTATACAGCCCTACTGCGCCCGTAGAGGTGTCAGAGTTGCCACCGGTTCCTGAACTGCCCGCCCGGCGCCCATTCACCCCACCATCCGTGCCGTACATACAGCTCCGTAACGTACGAGTGGCCAATCCGGCCGATCAGTTGGACAGGGCGTACGCGGAGGCAGAGAGTGAGCCTAATATTGGTGTTGGTGCCAATTGGTCGGGCGAGTTGCACGTCAGTAGTGCCAGTGATGGCCAACACAGAACTGATCAGCAAAAGGAGGACAGGTATATACAGGAACTGAGCCGTAAAGGGCTAGACATTGATTTGGACGATGAGCTCGGGTCGGGTGAGTTTGGCACAGTCTATAGGGGCCGATACAATGAGCAGGTTAGTTTTTTGAGTAATTTTTAAAGTAGTTATTATGGTATTTTATAGTGTGTGTTTTGCAACTAGATTGTAAACATAGGGGGCTTAAGCCAGCGGTATCTGAAGGGTGTGACTCCTGGTCAGGGGTTTGCCGTCAAATCGGTACAGTTCTACCCCTACAGCGAACTATCCTTTCGGTTGGCCCACGAGGTGGAGAAATGTGTACTCAAATCGCTCCGACACCCAAACATTGTGTCCTATCGGTTGGCCATTAATCTCGGTAAACACCGAGTGCTCAGTAGGAAATCGGGCCAATCAGATGACGGCACAGAGGGTCCGACCGGTAGGGATATTATTAGCTACGACCGGATGTTTTTGATCATGGAGCTCAGCGATCGTGGTTGTTTGCACGACTTTTGGCGGACCAAGGAGTTTCAAGAGTTTGCCGCACCCCTGGCCATCCTATTGATTCAGCAATTGTGCTCCGGTATGTATGAATTCATATTCTCTCTCTCTCTCTCTCTCTCTCTCTCTCTCTCTCTCTTTCTTTCTCTCTTTCTCTCTCTCTCTAACAAACAAAACTAATTATTTATTTCCCAAACCACCAAAACCTTTAAGCCATGGCTCATATGCAGGACATAGGGGTCGCCCATCTGGACATACATACAGGCAATGTGTTGGTATTCAGCGGTGCCGTCATTGATAAGTACGCGGCCAAGTGGTCTGACTTTGGCACCGCTGTGTCCCGGGATTTATACCGGGGTTGGGGAGTGACTATACCGGCCGATCACATGCACGCTATGATGCGTAGGGACACCATTGAGTTGGCCTCAGTTTGCAAGGGTTTGATAGATGTGTGTCCGACACATGAAGGCGTGGACCCCGGGCTCTGGCAGCACATGATAGCACTGGTGGGTGAGTTGAAACAAGCGATGCAACCATTGGGTGATATACTTAAGAAGTATACTTTTGTCTGACTTTATTTTGTGTAAAAAGCCATGCGATATTTATTTATTATACATGCTCATTTCTTTCAATCCTAGACCATCCGAGTCATTTGTGTCACTTTTTAGTCACTTAGTCACTTTTTAAATTATCACTATGAATTTTTGTTAAAATAGAAACACCAACAATAAATTGTAAAATTTAATTAAAAAATATAACACGGTAAAATTTTTGAACAAATCAAAAGTTTACATGATAAAAATTATTTAAATTACTCACAACTAACTTCAATGTCCAGGAGATCCAGAATTCAAGCGGACTTTGGCGTCCCATCGGGCGAACCATTTGGCGATACACTAGACTTACAAACACCAGCAGACCCGACAAGTTTCGACCCGACCCTATTGGACACAAACACACCGGTCATACCCGGAGCTATACTCACACCACAACATGTTCCGTACGGATACGCACCGGCATATACCAGACCCGCGTCACCCGCGCCCCTGTACTCAACCGAGTTGTCCGCGTCTGGAATTTTTGGGCCACCCGTCGACCCGGAGTACCCGATTGAAAGTCCAGCCCAGAGTCCGACACCGGCCACACCCGTACGCCGGTATCGATCCGTATCGTTGCCGACCGTATTATACACTACTGGTTCCGATGATCCGTACGGCACCGATGAGCCCATACCTGGTCTACTCACACCTGCCGGACAAGGCCTCAGACGCTGGCAACCAGTCGCAGCCCTTACCGCTTTGCCGCCCACTCCGGACACATCACCCACAGTAGGCGTGTCATCGGTCTCGGCATCGCCTGTGGCCGACACTCGGCGACCATTTACACCGCCTTCCGTGCCTTACGATCAGCTCCGGGACGTTAAGGTCACCGATCCGTTGCAAATGCTGGACATGGCGTACGACGAGGCGTCCGGGTATGGGTCCGATGTTGGTGCCAGCGGTGGAAATGTGGGTAACATTTGGTCGGGTGAGTTGCATATTAGTAGCGATGATCAGGGCAGCGATGATGATGATGATGACCAGGATGCTGGTCCACGTGATGCAAAAGTGGACAGGTATGTTCAACAGCTCCGGGATTACGGTCTAGACATTGATATGGACAACGAGTTGGGATCGGGCGCGTTTGGCTCGGCCTACCTGGGCCAGTACAACGAGCAGGTTAGTTATAAATAGTTGTTACAAATTATAAAGTTATTTAAAACGATGATGTTTAATAATATAGATTGCAAATATCGAGGGCCAGAAATACTTGCTCGGCGTAACCCCTGGCCAGGGATTCGCCGCCAAATTTGTCCGGTTTTCGTCGGACACCGATTTGGACACCCGATTGGCCCACGAGGTGGAGAAATGTACCCTCAAATCGCTGCGACACCAAAACATTGTGTCCTATCGGTTGGCCGTAAATCTCGGCCACCATCTCGTGCTTTCCCGAACAGCCCTGGGCTATACCGGGCGCGATATAATTAGCTACGACCGCATGTTCCTGAT